GGAAAACCCTTCCTCTCTGAACTACTCTGTAGCATAACAAACTTGCTAATGAGAAGAACAGCACAGAGAATGGAATTCCACCCTTCCTTGAGGAATGAGAGTATCAGCATATTTAATGATGCCACAAACTCCAAATGCAAAATGACTCATTAAGCTGAGGTCTCTGGCTTCTATAAACAGCAGACTTCCAAAACTAATTCCCTTTCTTAGGGCAAAGATACAGAGAAGTAGAATCTAATCTTATTTAGCCAAGTATAAATTGAGACAACTTTAACTGCTAAAAATATACATTGCAGAGTTCTATCTGATATCTGATGTGCTCTTACTGGGAGTACTATGGGGTTTTAAACTACAGGTAGTCCTTAACCTACGACCACAACTGAACCCAAAATTTATGTTGCTAAGTGAGACTGTTGTTAAAGGAGTTTTATAACCTTTCTTGCCACCATTGTTAATCACTGTAGTTGTTAACTTGGTAACATGGTTGGTAAATGAATTTGGTTTCCCCATCGACTTTGTTTGCCAGAAGATGATCCCATGATCCCAGGATACTGCAATTGTCATAAATATGATTCAGTCGCCAAGTGCCTGAATTTTGATCAGGTGACCATGAGGGTGCTGCAACAGTCGTGTGAACAACAATCATAGGTCACTTTTTTCATGAGGTTGTAACTCTGAACAGTCACTAAACAAATTGGCATGTCAAGGACTACCTGTAAGTGAAAACTGTGGGTAACACACATTTAATGCTGTAAAATGGGGGGAGGGGAGGGATGTTAATCTTTCAGATGGATAATACCCATAGTTAAACTTTCAGAAGAACCACAGAGATTTTCCTGGAAACAAATCAAAATAGTAATTATTATTACTGATTCAATGATACTGTCTGATTGTTTTTAATTACTAGAAGTAGTTTTATTTTTACAGTTGTTCTGCCTTAAGAAGTACTTTTATTTATTTTGAATCTAGGGAACATGATGAAAAGTACAGAATACTGATTATGAAAAATATCTAAACAGCAGAAGAAATTGAAATCTTGACTGCCATTTGACTTTTTACTCAGAAATAGAAAATAGCTTACTTTAAATTTTATATCTTTGAATTTCATTATCTAAGTTTGCAAACTGAAATAATACCAACCCTGCCTATATGTCTGTCTCTTTTGTGAAGAAAGTTCTACAAGTGTTCTAAAACTGAAATAAAAAATGCATATCAAGTATATATTAATTAAATCAAAGGTTATAAAAACAAAAGATCATTTTCTATTAGAGATAATTTGTATCTAGGTTGCCCAAAAAGAATGCCTCAGAAGCACACTAGCCTCATGATATACATTTCCAACCCTATATAAGAGAGAAAAAAAACGAGCAAAACCACAACTGTCATACCCATATTGTCATTAAAGGTTGTGTTGCATTGAATTGGTCAGGTGAAAACTTGACTTTCAAACAGACCACAGTGAATAAAAGTTTAGGAAATCCAAAGTTAGATGGAAAATGTACAAGTGTCTTTTCATTGTAATGCAAGTCCATTTACAACCAGATCCTCCTTACAAGTAATATCAGCTAACAGCCTTGATATTCCTACACTGTCTAACGTTATCATTCTATCCCTGTTCCTTTCATTGCCTCCCACATCACAAGCCCAGCACCCTGGCATTCAATATGGAGACCAAGTGGTCTCCCACTCTTGCCTGCAAACCTGCCAGTTTATCTGAGGTGGCTTTCATTTGTCTAATCACAGAGAGGATAATGACATGTTAATTTCTGCTACCACTTCTGATTTATCAAATAGCTTAATGACATTCTAGGGCAGAAGTGGAAAAAATTGTTTTGGACAGCACCACCCTAAAGAAACAACTTATAGGGATCAATGGCAAAATGTTCTCTGTCAGGAATGGGAACTTAATGGCAATGTTATTTATACTTTATGGAAAGCCATAGCCCTCAAAATAATGCCGAAGATCTGATGGAAGACCACAGAACATTCTGATATAGCCTAAAAGGTATCTTGAGAAACACCTTGTAGAAAGGGGATGTGGGCAGTGAATTCATAATGTCACTGGAATTTGCACAAGAAAATTTCAGTCCAGTTTTGAGAATAATTCAAAATAGTACAAGAGGCTTAAGGCATCCATTTTTTTATCTTAAAAATTCCATATCTACTAAACTTCTCTATTAAGAAAAATAAGAGGATAATGCCAGTTTATACCTTAAGATAAGCCATAACCCACAACACTATGACAAAAACTTAAGCTGCTCAAGACATGCTGTTAGGCTCATAGGACTTCCCAATACACAACATGTGGATTATGGTTGCCCATCCCTATCATAGAGAAATAACTAGATGTTAGCCCCTAAAAAGGTGAACAAGATCTACATGCAGAGTCAGACTGCATTATGCAAACCACAACAAGTGCTCAAAAGTATTGTTGCTTTTCTTCAGGTATTTGCTATATTAAAGACAAAATAGCAGAACTAATTTTTTATACAAGCCTTTTAAAGAAAATTTGATTACCTGCCAATGTGTTACATTGTAGACCCTACATTTATTTATTTATTTATTTATTTCTAAAATTTATATGCTGCCCAATCCCAAGGGACTCAGGGCGGCGTACAAAATTAAAACAATAATATGACAATAAAACAATAAAATAAATACATTCATACAGCGTGTCCAATCATATCCCGCCCCCCCCCCGGGACATCAGCCCCAGGCCTGCCGGAACAGGATAGTTTTAATGGCTTTCTTAAAGGTCGGCAAGGTGGGAGTAGTTCGAACCTCGGGGGGAAGTTGATTCCACCAGGTTGGAGCCACCACAGAAAAGGCCCTTCTCCGAGGGCCCACCAGCCGACATTGTCTGGCCGATGGGACCTGAAGGAGGCCCAATCTGTGGGACCTCACCGGTCTCTGGGAACTGTGTAGCAGTATGCGGTCCTGTAAATAACCTGGCCCTATGCCATGAAGGGCTTTAAAGGTGATAACCAACACCTTGAATTGCATCCAGAGACCCACAGGAAGCCAGTGCAGCTTGCGGAGGATAGGTGACACGTGGGCGTACCCTGGCGCGCTCACAATCGCTCTCGCGGCTGCATTCTGAACTAACTGCAGCCTCCGAACACTCTTAAAGGGTAGCCCCATGTAGAGCGCATTACAGTAATCCAGTCTTGAGGTGACAAGGGCATGAGTGACCGTGAGTAAAGCCTCCCGGTCCAAATAAGGCCGCAACTGGTGCACCAGGGGAACCTGGGCAAAGGTCCCCCTGGCCACAGCCGATAGATGTTGTTCCAAATTTAGCTGTGAGTCCAGGAAGACACCCAAGTTGCATTCCTGCACTGAGGGAGGTAAATTTACCCCCCCCCCAGCACTAATGATGGACCATCCAGTTGACCTTTGGGAGGCAAGACCCAGAGCCACTCGGTCTTGTCAGGGTTGAGTCTAAGCCTGTTCACCCCCATCCAGACCTCACATCTTCCAGGCACCGGCACATCACGTCGACTGCTTCACTGAAAGGACACCGGGTGGAGATATACAATTGGGTATCATCCGCGTACTGATGATACCTCACCCCGTGTTGCATTGATTGGACAGCTATTCTTAAGAGTATATCTCTAAAAAGCACTGTTTTTTTTAATAACTCTTCAAAAGAAGACCATCCTCTGAATGGTTATGAGCCAGATTTGAGTGGCCTTTTCAGCAGCATGACCTATAACATTAACCTGCTGGCTTTTCAGGAAGAAGAGCAATATGAAAATAAAATTAACCATCACTATCATGCATGTTTCCGTAAACAAAAAATCTGCCCCAAAATTTATCTGAAAAGAAGATAATCAGTGAAAGTTATGCTTAAAAAGTAATTCTAAAGTTATGTTTCAAAAGGTTTAGTACTGGGGAAATTTATTGCATCCTAGGAATCTCATGTCAAAGAATAAAAGCAGGACAATTTTTATTTTAAAATTAATAATTAAAAGGCAATGTATTAACAGCTATATCAGTTAAAAGATGCATGCATACAAAGGACATCTGTGTTAGAAAACACAGTGAATGAGTGCTACTACTTTTTATTCCATATTTTTCTTAAAACTGTTAAAACACAACGGATGAGAATATTGTTCTTCTAAAACCAAGAAGCATTCACACATCATGCTAAGCCACAATATGGTTTGCTTGGTTTTGGCTTAGTATGTTGTATAAATCCATGCAATGGTGGCTTTTTCAACAATCATAATTAAATAGCCAGCAGTCTTCATGCCCCAAGTCAGTATCAAAATAAAGATCTTCAATGAAAGGAAACTCCTCTGATAATCCTTCTAACACAGGATTTTTTTCTCTGCAACATGGATATCCCAAGTGGAGGAGGGAAGGCAAGACGGGGAACAAGTGATGAAATGTTTACTGTGACATGTCATAAAAATGCAGCTTATAAGTTGTCATTGACTTATGACCGGTTGCTTAGTGATTATTTGAAATTGTAACAAACCTTTCCCCCAGTTCCAAATTTCCAACTGCACCCATGGGATCATGTGGCTGCATTTTGAGTGCTTGGCAACTGGCCTGCATGTATGATTTTTTTGCAGGGTCCTAAGGTCACATGACAATTTAGTCGAAAATGGGAATTTACTTCCAGTTTTTGCAAAATGTTCCACAGTGAATAATGGGTTCCTTTTAACAACTGCAACATTCCTTAAACAATTGCAGTGTTCATTTAATGACCACCACAAAAAAGGTCATAAAAATGGGTCTGGTCAGATGACTCATTTTACAACCATCACAACTTATTACCATAATGGATAAGCTCCATTAAAGTCCTACGTCAAGAACCATCTTATAGACTTGCATCGTGATAATAACAACCGCGAGTTATCATTCTGATATAATTTAATTTTGCTGCCTATGCTGTCTAAAACAGAGTATTCAGTCTTACACTACAGACATATATTTCCATAAAAAAATATCCTCAAGGGAAGTAAACAGCACATACAGTGAGCATTTCATCTTACCTTCCTATAGGTCCTAAGTCTCCCGAATCTTGACTTCCAGCTTCACTGGGGGTGCTCACTGATTTCGGAGAGGGAGACATAGGGGTTGGGACTAAATAATGAAAATAACAGGTATCCCATGTTAAAACATGCAATGATTGCATTGATGTAGAGCACCGTCAAGAAAATTATAAACCGGGATCCAAATTAAAAAATGATTCCACATGCAGGAAGATTTTAAATGGTGAAAACAGGAGGACAAAGGAAAGAAATTAGTCAGTTCTAAATAAATTTTAGGGAGGTTTAAACTGGCCCATGTACTGTGTTAATATCAGCACCCATTTTTTTATATTAAAAAATTAAAAGTCAAGGTTGACTCCAAGTAGAACTGATTTTTCAACATGGGTAGGAAGTTAGAATTTTTTTTAATAATTTTGTTTTACCAAAGTTAGGGCTTAAATGTTTTTGTTGTTAAATGTTACCTAAAAATAAAATTATAATGGACAATTCTGAGCAAAAAACTAAAAAAAAAGCCTTGCAATTTTGAAATCTTGAAATCGTGAAAACAAGAATAAGTATAATTAAGAAAGAAAAGATATTTTGGACATTTATTTGAATATTTGCAAAACAGAATGACTTCCTGGGTTTTTACAATCACTAATATTTATTAGTGTAATAGTCCATAATTTTCTGCTCAAATTGGTTGTTTACAATAAATAATTCCAGCAGATGTGAATTCATAGTGAAGTTTTTTTTTCTTTTTCTTTTAAGCCTCCTTGAACATCTTTCGCATTTTTCTGCCAGCATAATAAAAATATTACTCTTTATGCTTTACAAAAATCTCAGATTTCCTGGGAAAAAACTAAGGGGATTACAGAGGGACTACTAGAGCTTCATGATGTTATAATTCCCATTTCTGGCTTGTGAAGTTAGTGTGGACAAGTAGTCATCCCCTCCCCACATCCCTTCCCCATACCTCCAAGTCAGCCCAGCAGATGTTCTAAAATGCAATCAGCATTTATTAAAGTTCTCTTGCTTGACTCTGTAACTAACCAATTTCTTTTAAATTATATATATATAATTATATATGTACATTTTTTTATTTGAATTTGATAGTTTGCTTGGCAAGAATACACAAGTAGTTTTCTTCCAGGATGGTGTGATGTTGGCTTTGTTTCTTGATTCTCAATCTAATTTAAGCTTTTGAATTTGCTGATGATCTCCCATCTCAGAATCAATCAGATTCATAACTATTTCATAACTGCCAAGGTCAGTTAGATGCTGCCACCTGCTGTGGATGATCAACATGAATATAAATCAGTATTTGAATAGAATTATAAACTTAACTATTTTTAAGAACTTGAATTAGAATTCCAAAACTAATCTAATTGGGAAGGAAGCAACTGACCAGGTTTTCCCTGGTGTACAATATTAAACATCTTGCTCATAGGATTGTTTTCCATGATTTAGTTCAATAAATCTCTAGGCTGAAAGGTAGGGAACTTTTTTATTTCAATATGTAAATTAAAGATGAACTACCACATTTAATTTGGCAGTGAAGGATTAAAATCAAGACAAAAAAGGCCAATTAGAGCTAATCTTCACACAGTTACAGTCAAAAATATAACTTTTGACAATGGCTATTTCAACTTTGTGTTTAAATGTATACAGGTAGTCCTTGACTTACAACCATTCAAAGTTATAACAACTCCTTCAAAAAGAAGGTACTTACAGCCCCATTTTGAAGTTCCAATGGGTGTCCTCCAGTCACATGACTGCATTTTGGATGTTTGCAACCAGATCACATTTACAGCTGTTTGCAGCACCTAGCAGTCACATGACTCAAATTTATGACATTTTTTGACGGAAACCAGTGTTTACTTTTGGCAAAAAAACCCGCCCATTATTTAAAATGAGTTTGCTCAATGATTGCCATGTTCACTTAATGAACACAGCAAAACAAGGTCTAAAATCGTATAGTCATATAGTAATCCACTTAACGACCAGCATGACTTACAATCTTAATTCAGGTTCAATTATGGTTATAAGCTGAGGACTATCTGTATTTTCTCTGATTTAACTCATTTTGCTAAACCATTCACATATGCTGGCAGAGACACCAATGAAGCAGCCTGGCCACAGTTTGAATTCCAAAATCTTACACATATTCCCACCATGAGTTGTTATCAGAATAAGCTGGGGGAAATATACCAAAGGAATTGACTTGTAATGAAAACAGATTGTGAAGGGATAATGAAAATGGGTCATTATCCACCAATTCTGCTTCTTGGTGCTAGCTATTAACCATGCTAGTAGAAGATGAGTTCTGATTTGCAAAAATCACATCAAGGAAGTGATGGCTTTAAAACAGTATTTCTCAAGCTTGGCAACTTTAAGGTGTGGGGACTTCAGAGTGCCCCACATAGCATGGCGTATTCTGAGAGCTGAAGTCCATATATCTTAAAGTTGCAGCATTTGAGATACACTGCTTTAAAGCCTGTGGAAGGATCAAGACTTTTTTTAGATTGTGCCCAGTGATTTCCAAGGGGCAAAATGATAAAACCAATGTTGCAGCATCATAACACAACCCTATTCATTTCTGTTTGGGCACTGGATGTTGCAGGCACACACAAAAATGGCACAGCTTGTGGCACACTGCTACAGCACTGTTTCTATCTTCCTAAAGAACAGTCAAAAATGAAGAGGGGAAAATACTGAACAAAAATCCAAGTGAACCAACTAATAAAGTTGTTTTTATTTTATTATTTATGTATGTACATTTTTATTATTGGGTGCAATAAGTAAATCTATCTTGAAAGTGGCAACTATTATAAATAACTCAAAACCTAGACCAAGAAGGATGGAACACAAGCTATTAATGGTGTAGCTGTGGCATATGAATGATAACTATGCTGGCATACAAAACTGACATTCAGCAAAGAAGGGAATGAGAATTGCTATCAACTAGCCATACAATCATGTATTACATGATGTATAATCCACATATATCTCATCACAGACACACCAAGACAATAAAAGCAAAGCATGCACTGATAATGCATGAATGTTACAGAAACTGAAAAATATTAATGGATTTACTAGAGTACCTAGAGGAGGTTCTGGGGAAATCCCAATGCTTTGCAGTAAAGCTTCAGTTTCTCTTCTCTTGCGATCCAAATCAGAATCTTCCGGGGGTGGTTCCTTCTTCTGCTGAGAATCCGCCTGAATTAACAATAATGAAGAATTATGCAGAGAATTCAAATAAGTAGAATGATTCACAGACATGCAGCAGCTTCTCTCCCAGGACAGGTAGCAGGTTAAGTGGTGGGGCTTTCAACAAAACTGCAGAGTAAGCAAAAAAGATGCTCATCCTAATTTCTACCTCAGTAACAATATATTGTTTTTAAAGGAAAAATAAGGCACTTTAATTGCATGTGTGCACTTAATGCACTGCAAAGAGAACAACCATTTCTAAATTAATATCTTTTAATTTCCCATAAAACACATATTTTATATATGAGTACCTTCAGTTTCTTTAAACTCTCAGAAGTAAATTTGGCCCCTTTTCCCCAACTTTCAATTGGCCTCTGAAAAAGTAAAAATCTGGTGGACAATCTTGGCTAGTTTGCTCTGCCAACAAGTCTTTTTATTGCTGTTTTAACATAATCACACAATTCCAAAGCCAACAGAATACCAAATCAGGTACCAAATCAGTCTAGATTTTATGTGTATTTTAAGATGGTAATTTTAATCTTTTGCACTGCTATTGCTGTTGTGTAGCTAGAAAAAAATGAGATTAGTATTTTCCTAAGTAAGAAATATCTGTTGCATGTCAGAAACCGTTCAACCGTGTGTTGGAGCTCTGGCCAAATCTAGATCAGTTCTGCATGCAACACATGGAGCAGAAATAGTTTTGGATGTTTCTCCGCCCAGACTTTAACAGCATAGCAAGTGGGCAGGTGGTGTAGTATCTTCTAGATCATCCAATCATTGTGTGCCTATTATGCATTAATTAAATCAAGCTTTGTATCACTTGCAACAATCATGTTGGGTGAGACTAGAAGGTTCTTTAAATGATGAAACAGTCATTGCCTTATCATACAAACATCGTGTATGATGTCTGTGTTAATGTATGAAAGAGACAACCACGTACATGGATGTGTAATCTTGGGATTTTTATCTGCTGGTAAAATGCTTACATACTCAGAAGCATCCTGATTTAACGTCCCACCTAAGACTCTCATAAAATTCACACTGTAATAAAACATCCACCATTTCGGGATCAGTACCATAACAGATACAAAGTCTATGAGAGATAAGCATTTTTTGAAATCTACCGCATTGCTTAGGTCAGTGGTTCTCAACCTTTCTAATGCTGTGACCCCATAATACAGTTCCCCATGTTGTGGTGACTCCCAAGTGGGTGTGGCCACCAATAAGAGGGAGTAGGACAGCTAGGGAAAAGGGAAAAAAATGGCAGACAGCATGGTTTGGCGACCCCCGTGAAATGGTCGTTCGACCCCAAATGGGGTCCCGACCCACAGGTTGAGAACCACTGGCTTAGGTGATAACAATACATTTAATCGGGCTTTTGAAAAGGCTAGTCTGTATTTTAAGTTATTCAAATATTTAGGGAACTGTAAAATATGTATATAATTAATTCCATTAAGATACCCAAATGATAACAGGTATTTTATACTGCAGCTATTGTTGACAAAAGGAGAAATACCAACATTTAATGCTTTCCCGAGTTTGTCTGAAAATGGATTTCACTGTCAGTTCTCATCTCTATTTTGCACTGTGATTGAATTAAAAAGAGAGGAGCATAAATTCCTTAATTAAAAATTCCCATGCACATTCTCAAGGATATACCAAATAATATATCAAATTAAAAGAACAAGCCAGTATCCTAAAGTCAGGAGGCCAACAATGCAACAGTAATTATCATTTATTTTGCTGAAGAACAGTAAATGCAAATTTGCTACCTTAGCAACCAAACTAGCCAGCAATAAAATGAGAGAGGGAGACACAGACTGCAACTGAATTTTTAAATATGCTTTGGATAGATAAACAGACAGACAGACAGACAGATAGATAGATGATGGTTGGATGGATGGATGGACAGATAGATAAATTATGTTTTCACAAATAAACAATTCAATTTCAAGCCACAACTATTTTGAAATCTATCAACAGCATTTTGCATTTATACACCAATTACAAACAATGCCAGCCTTATTTCCCTGTTTAATCAGGCCCCCAAAAGCAAGATAAAGAAGCTAGACACTTCTGAATTATAGGTCTGCAAACTGTGATTCAAAATATTAAGTAATGAAAGAAAAACCAATAGGCCCTCAACCAAATTAAAACTGGCCATTGTTAGGCTTCATACTAGGTATGGTGATATATCTAAACTCTTAACCTTACTTAGAGGAGAAGTTCACAGAAAGCCACAACTAAGATCACTTGTTTCAGACAGGTAAGATAGAAGCCAGATATATACAGAAGTCCATTTTATTTCAGATCACCAATATCATGCCCTATAAGGGCCAAGCCTTTTGGTCTCACCTTTTCAAGCAAACAGAAATGTGGTTATATTCTTCCCATCTTGAAAATGGGAACATTTAACATTTGCATAATCATTTTGTCTAGCTTGAATCCTGTTTTGCCAGCTTCAACCCCTTACACTGGCTCTCTCGTGGCAATTCTCAGCAAGAAATCTACATACTTTGGGGATGGATACAAGTTATGGACTAAAAAGGAAATAAATATGCTTATTAAAGTTCAGAGAATTACAAGACGAGGAACACAAAATATAAGATGGATAGAGAGCATCAAAGATTGACATTGTACCGGATTGTATTTCTTTTCTATTTGCTGTTATGAAAAAATATAAATTCAAAAGAGGCATAAATAAAAAGTAGGAACAATACCTTAACAGACATCACACACACCTCTTTCTTTTTCCTTTCTTCTTCTTTCCGTTTCTTTTCCTCTCTTATTTGAGCCAATCTCTGTTTTTTACGTTCCAGTTCTGCTTTTAAGTCACTCTTGTCTGACATGATGATTACTGGTTAGGAAGTAAAAAGAGAAGATATCAGTGTTGGGAACCAAGAAAAAAATAATATTTTTTTAACCTCCATTTACCTCCAGTCAAATATTGATTGGCATCTAGAGTGAGAAAGGAGGAAAGAGTTTTGATGCGATCGAAAGAATTCCTTGATAATAGCCTGATTATATTGGGAAAAGGTAAGCAAATATACAATAGAGTAAATACATTATCAAAACACTTGATTTTAAAGGACAATTTGATATTTTTTTCTGCAGCTCATATTTAAATACTGCTCAGCCCCTATAAAACTAAAAACAATTTGCTTTCACAGCTATGATAGGGGTGTACAACTTTTCTTAGGTCGAGGAATACCATGGCTCGGCCAGTGATTTACAAAAGGATTGCAAGAACGTCATCTAGGAACTTAGGAGATTGAATTGCAGTCTTTGGTGTCCCCAAAACTGCTCAGTCCTATCTTTACAAATACAATTTACTTACCTTCTATTTAATCCAGTTTCTGAAACTGGTCAATATTGGCTCCCAATGGTTGTTATTATTATTCATAGTACTATTAATTAATTCATTCATTAAATTATTTTCACATAATAAATGGTAGGAAATAAAAAAATTGAAACATCATAAAGGGGACAGTGATTATAGCATCCGCTGTTGCTTTCCAATGAATCATTTGCACAACTGCAAAATTCACAGACAAGTATAATCTGAAGAACAACCAACCTCCAATTTGCACATTAATCTCAGAAGAACAATTTAGATTGGCCTGAATATAAATGTGAGTACAACTTTCATCAATCATCTTTTTATGAACTAATTGAAGCTAGCTTCTGAAATATAATCCTTCTCAATACACATTACTTTCTCTTGATTGATTGGTGAATTGACTGATTATGAGCCGATGACTCACTGTCGACTCAGAGTGATTACATTTTCTCCACACTCCTCCAATCACATATGGTTTAACTGTGACTATATAGACAAGCAGCATTACTTTAGCTACGAAGAATTGTGTTTCTGACTAACTTCTTTTTTTCCCTCAACCTGTAACTTAATTCCCACTCCGATTATGTCCTGAGTTTAAAAAACAATCCGATTAGCCTTAGATGTGATTTCTATAATGTCACAATCACTCTTAATGGAGGGGAAAAAACAAGATTAAGGACAGGGAAAGGCTAAAGAGAAATAATAGTTTCAGGATTATAACACATAACAGCATTATTATTGATTTATGTTCAGCAAAGCTGAGCAAAGATTCCATCAGAGGCACACAGAGCCCAAGGAAACCATCAGTTATGCTTACTTTTACACTCTGCAGCATTATTCAAATACATCAACAGAGCTTTGAAGCAAACAATGCACATGCTGCCAAAGGCTATTATCTACAAGTCCAAGAGGAATTTAGTAAAGAATTCTAATTTCTAGAATTTGGTGAGTTTGGTCAAACAGATCCAAAAAGTACAGTAATAATGGAGGATCTCTTTTTCCCTCTTATGACCCTGGGTATTTTTACACTAGCTTTTACTGTGCAATTGTCATGCCTTATTCACGGGACCCAAAGCACCCAAAAGTAGGATAAAAATCAGTAGGTAGAAGCTTTACAGTGAGAGAACCAAATCTAAAATGAGGAATTTCCTGACTGTAAGAGCTCTTAAGCAACGGAGCAGTCTGCCTACGGAAGTGGTGGTTACTCCATCACAGAAAGTTTTCAAGAATTAGATAACTATTTGTACAGAAAATCTGAGGATTCCTGTATTGGGCAGGGGGCTGGACTAAAAGACCAGCAAGATCCCCTCTATGAAACTATGATTTTATTGGCTGCCCAGACAATGCTATATAAGTAGTCAACTTACAACAGTTCCTTTAGTGACCGCTCAAAGTTACAGTGGCACTGAGAAAAGTGACTTATGACTGTTTTTCATATTTACTAGTATTGAAGCATCCCCATGGTCACATGATCAAAATTCAGATGCTTGGCAACTGGTTCATATTTACAATGGTTGCAGTGTCCTGCACTCACCTTTTGTGACCTTCTGACAAGCAAAGTCAGTGGAGAATCTAGATTCACTTAACAACCTTGTTACTAATTTAACTGCAGTGATTCACTTAACAACTGTGCCCAAAAATGTCATAAAATGGGCAAAACTCACTTAACAAATATCTCACTTAATAGCAGACTTATGTGGTCATAAGTCAAGGACTACTTGTATGCTACTTATAACTCTTTCATGTTTTTCTATTATCTACAAACAAGCAAATCTACGTATCTACTAATACGAGAAGAAAAAAGAGAAGTCACACATATATCACTTTTTCTTTTCCCGTTACTACTATATATACATTGTGGTGGTCTCCCATGGAGAATGAGACACGCACGCAGGTATCTCGGGATGGGAGCCCAGAGCTGACTCCAACACCCTATTTTATTGTTACTATAGTTTTTACATCACACAGCGTAATCAAAAGACGTATATAGGGATGGTTACAATGTATCACATAACAGATACTTTCCAGATGCAAGGCTATGCAGGTGGGTAATGATTCATGCATCCTGCTTCCCTTGTTCTTATCAGACCCTGTCCAAATGGCTGATGAATGTGTTCCGTGTCTAGAGCAGTCCGCTTGTTATCTCAAGGACTTTGTGGGAGCATGTCTATGGGCATATTTATGCAATTAATTCCACATCTCCTCGTTTTGTGTTTTTTTAATGTTACTCATTTCCAGTTCCAGAAGGCATCTTGATTCACTGATTAAGGCATCCTTCCTAGTGGAGGGCGTAACATTTTTGCACATTTGCAGGAGGGAGGGAATACATTGAATGCAACAACATAGCAATACAATTAATATCAAAATGGTTACTATAATAGAAATCAAAGATCGTAGCCAGGATCCATCCGGTAGCCAGGACCAAAGGGCACCCCAGATATCCACGGTGCCTGATCCATCGCTGCGTAAGGGATTATTTTGGATCATAAATTCCATTTTCCTTGCTGTAGCAGAAATATTAGGTTGAAAATCATGTATATACATACAACAATGAGAATGAATTAAAGCACATACACCGCCTTTTGCTGCTAAAATAATATCTAAAGCATACCGATTTCGCAAAACTACTTCCCTTATTTCCCCCATTTCTTGATTAATCATTTTAATGCTGTTGATTGTTTCATTAAACATATGAACAGTCCAATTGTTAAGCAAATGAAGGTCCCTATAGTTCATGGCAACTCCTAGATTGGGTAGAATCCCTCTGCTGATTTGAGTCTCTAAACTACCACCCAATGTTAGGGGTGGATCCGAGGAACCAGTATCACGTTTGTTCCGCAGGCGTCCATCAGGGAGATGAGGCAAGGCATATACAGCAGGGGTCAAAAGGCCCAGTGTACAGGTGCCTTTCCAATCCTTAGGCACCTGGCGATAGGCTCTACGGCCACATAGTAGCCACATATCGGGTAACTCATAATAACCCTGGTGAGACTCATTAGCAAATGTTATTATGGATTCCATGTCAAGGCAAGCCATGTAGGTACTGACGTTTGTCCATTGATTGCTTCGATAAGTGTTGTTTATCTTAGTAAGGTTGCTTTTGATGGATTTGCATTTCTTTGCTGAATTCCATATAATAACTTGTTGACAATTACTATAATTTCCCAAATAAGTGGCAGTACGGAATAGTCCTGTGCTATAAAAACAAAATCTGGCAGGTTCCATTATACGAGCGCCCACAGCATATGTCATATTCAATGTCTCTGTAGTTATGTTCCACAGCTGCTTCCATCCTGTTTCATTGAACGGGATGGCATGGAAAATAAGGCCACCACGACTGTCACCAGGAATCTGCATGCAAATCCAACAGTTCGTGACGTTAAGTGTAAGAGCAGTGCGCCTAGCATCCCGTACAAAAGCATTAAAGGCCCACAGTCCCTGATCCTCATATGCCTGGCTGAGGTGGTGTACGTTGAGCCATATAAGGACGAACACAATGAGCTGGAGTCCAAATGATCTTGCCATGGTCGTCTATTGCAGCATAGCCTCGACCCCAGGTAATGAGGGAGGCAGGCCCTTTCCAGGTGGGATCAGGCAAACGTCGATAGTATACCTGGGGGCGTGAAGAATCTGTGGGAGAAGCAGAAAAATGCCTGCTTGCGGCGGTTGAGCCAGGGGTGCCAGAAACATTCAAAAAGTTTAAGGTAAAAAGTACAAGATTAAGAGTGTTTTGTATCCCAGGCAAGCCGGGGGTATTTTCCCCTTTCTTTTTTGCATGCATGTCTAGAGCCCTTTTTACGGTCTGATTGGCTCGTTCCACGATCGCTTGACCAGTGGAGTTATATGGAATGCCAAATTTATGAACAATAGACCAGCGAGAGCAAAACTGTGCAAAGGAGGTGCTGGTATAAGCAGGAGGGTTGTCCGTTTTAATTTCTTTTGGGTTGCCCAGGGTAGAAAAGGTACGTATACAATGATTAATAACATGTTTAGCAGACTCACCCCTTTGAGGGGTGGCCATAATAAAACATGAATAGGTGTCAATGGAAACATGCAAATATTTCCAGGGGGCAAATGGCAAATATTGCATAACATCCATTTGCCAAAGTTGACAGCTCTGCGTCCCTCTTGGGTTGACCCCTTGAGGAACAGAGTGTGCTTGGAGGCTGCAGGTGGGACATTGTTGTATGATAGCCGCAGCCTCCGTAGCCGTTAAAGAAAATTGTTTCATTAAAGCCTTCTTATTTTGATGAAAATATGAATGGCTGTCCCATGGGGTTATGGGAGATAAAACAAGGACAGAGACGTCCTGGTGAGTCGAGGCGGCCGATGAGGCAGCATCCGCCTTGGCATTGCCTTCAGAGATAATACCAGGGAAAGGTTGGTGACTTCTAATATGAACAGGAAAAAAACAAGTAGAGCGGGAATGAAGAAGGGATTGGAGTGTGAGAAATAGACTGAGGAGGGAGTCATCCAATGAGGGTGACACGTTTGAGTCAGATAAAGAGGTGAGAACT